ATGGCTGAGAAGCAGAAGCACGACGGGCGGGTGAAGATCGGACACTACGTGCTCGGGGACACGCTGGGCGTCGGCACCTTCGGCAAAGTGAAGAGTTGAGTACGCGCTCGAGGCCGCTGCGCGGGGCAGCCCAAGGCGCTAGAGGTCCCGCCGACCCGCGAGAACCGCGGGCGGGCGGACGGGCAGGCGGGCGGGTGCAGGGCCTGGCGGCAGGTGGAGCTGCCCGGGGCCGCGCGGAGCTTGGCTTGGGAGAGGGGCCTGGTGAAGAGGAGCGGCGCTAGGGGACGTTTGCCCAGGGTTCCAGATCCAGTGCCAATTTCACTTTCTGGTAGTCTGGAGCAAAGCACTTCTCTCTTCACTGAACTGTAGTTTGCGCTCCTGTAAAAATGGGAGATTGGTCTACATCTGTGAGGTGTCTTCCAGTATGAATAGGGCTGAGGAATAACACATGTTACTGATTATTGAGTTCCCAAGTACCCTGTTGAGTGCTTTTCATGTAATCTTTAATTCCAGTTTGGTGAAGACACTCTCACTGCAAAGGTGAGAAAACTAGGATCCCCACAGGTTTAGTAACATGTCCAAGGTCACACAAATTGGCAGAACCAGGATGAAGTCTAAGATGTCTTCCAATTCTGGCATTGCTGGGAGTTCTCTGCCATCCCCAGCTTTTTTAATGCTGAGACTCAGTTGGTAGGGCTGGCTGTTTAGGGGATGCTCCAGAGGCTAGGAAGTGGGGTAGATCTTTTGCTGGGTAGGTGAAACGCTGGAATGCCTCTGGATTAGGTCAAGGCTTAATTAGAGATTGGTTGGCCTGTGTAAAAGGAAGGCTTCTGGGGTGGGGAAAATGAATAAGGTTTCTTGGTATTGGGCTTTTGAGGATTTAGGCTCGGGGTCAGACCTGCTAAGACATGTACTGCTAAGGTCTGTTTCTTGGTGATGGAAGCCCGTTTTGGAGCTGCTTTTGGGTTTACTTCTTACTAGTTAAGTATTGAACTCCCTTTCTCCCTTTCTCCTCTGTTAATGAGAGTCACATGGGATTTACTTGACCTGTCCTTGCTCCAGAACTAGAGCCAGTTTATTAAAAATGCTTTCTGTTTGACTGATGAGGGGTTGACTTTGTTCATTTTTTTTCTTTCTTGTGTAGAAATGTTAAATAGTTAATCTGCAGATTTTATTCTGTGGTCTCTGTTTCCTTGTAAAATCACATTTTAACTTCAAGTCCAGACTGTTGAATAGGGGGAAAAGACTCATTGTTCCTGAATTCCTGTGGTAAGGATGAACTCGTATTTGCTTTCACATACCTGATGCCCATTCATTTGTTCAGAAAGTACTTATTGAGCATCTACTGTATACTAGGCACTGTTCTAGGCAATGCGACTACAGCAGTGAACAAGTTAGGAAGCCAAACAATAACTGAAATATATATGTGAAATGTATAGTATGTTTAGATAGTAGTAAGTGCTTTTGAGAAAAATGAAGCAGAGGAAGGAAGATAGAGAATTTTGTAGGTTGTTCAGTTTTCAATAAAGTGGTCAGGAAAGGTGTCACAGACAAAGTGGTAATTATGCAAAGACCTAAAGAAAGTTGTGAACTTTGAAGTCCTATGAAGGCTGTGAAGTTCTGGATTGTTTTTGAAAGATGTCATAAATAGAATAGTTAGGAGAATATATTTAGAAGGAACACAGGAAGATCCAGGGGTTGGATTAATGCCTGCAACATTAGTTGTCGTTAAATATCATTACTGAGGAGTGCTGTGTTATATCATAGTTACTCAAAACAGCACCTTTGCCATCTGAACATGTACATGCACCAAGTTATGTAATTTACCCCCTATCCTTTTAAACTGTTAAAAGTTTTTGTCTTTTTTAATTTCCCCACTGAAATCTGGAAGGACACAACACCCATCAAATCAATCAGCCCATTGTCAAATGATGACTTAACTTGCTTTTGTGTATACTATTGAGCTACTACTATGAGTTGGCTTCTTAAAGTTCCAATAGAAGGAACTTTGACTTATGAGAAATCCTTTTCTAGAGAACCCCTGTCCAGTGAATAAACAATAGGAGCAGGTTTCCTAATACTGTGTCAGAGTCTTACTAAAATTATGTTGTGGATTCCCATCCAAGATTAGAATCAGTACAACTGTTAGTTTAATAGATTATAGAATTGCTACAATTTTAAGTTACTCATTTAATTTTTCAAGACAAATGAAGCAATAGCACATGTAGTTTTTGAAGCAACTTTATTGAGGTATATTTTACATATTATAGAATTCACCCATTTTAATTTTAAGTGTACTGATCAATGATACTCAGTAACTTTCTCAGATGGTGCAACCATCATCATAAATCAGTTGTAGAACATTTTCATTCCTAAAATAAGATCTGTCATGTTCATTGATAGTTAATTCTCCTTCTGACCCCAGCCCCAAGAAACCATGGATCTATTTTCTGCCCCTATATATTTGACTTTTCTGGATATTTTGTATAAACGGGATCATTCAATGTTGAATCTCATGTCTGACTTCTTTAATTGAAAGAAATGTTTTTGAGGTTTATGCATGATATAACATGTATCAGTAGTTTATTCTTTTTACAAAAAAAAAAAAAACAGACTCACTGCGGTCAAGTCATTTCTGACTCATAGAGACCCTTTCTTGGGTTGCTGAGGTGGTATTTCTATGAAAGTAGATTGCCCAGTCTTCCTTCCGAGGAGAGGCTGGTGGATTTGAACCGCCAGGCTTCTGGTTAGCAGTGAAATGCCTTAGGTACTATGCCACCAGACCTCCCTTATATTGCTAACTACTTCACCACTGTATGGATATGCCACTGGTGAATTGTCTGTACATCACCAGTTGATTGACATTAATTATTTTCAGTTTTGGGTTATTACAAATTATGCCACTGTGAACATTTGCATGCAAGTCTGTGTGAACACGTTTTCATTTATCTTGGGTAGATATCTAGGAGTGGAATTGCAGGGTGGGTTCATTTTATGCTTGATTATTTTAGGAAATGCTGAACTTTTCTAAAGTGCTTGCATACCATGTTTGAGCCCCTTTTTGTTGCTTTTGTGTCCATTTGTTGAGGGTTTCCATCATTATTGTGGACCCTCTACCTATGTCCTTTTCTAACCATTGGTCTTTTCCTGATGATGTGTCCAGAGTAGCCAGTGGTCTTGAAGATGGTGCAGGACTGTTTAGTTCTGTTATTCATAAGATTGCCCTCGTTGTTGACTAAAAGGCAACTAAAAACAGCAACAACCACTAATAATGCATGAGGGTAATCATGTATTCACATTTTCACCAAGATTTGTTAACCAACAAAAAATCCAAACCTTTGAGTTGATTCTGACTCATGGGGACCCCTTACTGTGTGCTTATTATAGTTATGCTGTGAAGTAACATCTCCTGGCTTTACCTTGCATTTCCCTTATGAATAATGATATTGAACATCTTTTCATGTACTTCTTAACTATTCGTACATCTGATGAAATGTCTTCTGTTTATCTTTGTCATTTTTTTTGGTTGGTTTGTCTTCTTATAAATTGAGTTGTAAGAATTCTTAGTTAATTCCGAATATAAGTTCTTTATTGGATATGTTTTGCAAATATTTTCTCCCAGTCTATTGTTTTTCCTTTCAGTTTCTTAATTGTAGTTTGAATGATAAGTTTGAATTTTGATGAGGTCCAATTTATCATTTTTTTCTTTTTATGAACAGTGCTATTGGTGTTATATCCTAGAAATAATTATCCTTCATTGAAATTGTTCAACAAAGGATACTTTGCAGCAACTTTATCTTCTTTCTAGCTAGCAAAGTATCAAGAGATTTATTGCTTTTGTTTTCAAATAATTACCTTTATTGAATTTCAGGAAATTAAGTAAATGTTTTACTAATTTCCTGCATACTTTTCAGATAACAGGAAGAATAAGCAAATGGAAAAAAAATAAGATTTTTTATAAACTGTGCTACCTTTGTTGAAATATAAATACCAAGTTCTAAATGATAAATCACATTTCGGATAACTAACTGATTTTGACTCCCATGTTAGTATCAAGATCTAAACAAGACATCTGACCATTCTGGGCCTTGTTTTCTTACTCTCCTAAAGGAGAACATTAGAAGACATCATCTGTAAGAGCCTTTACAACTTTAAAATTAAACTGATTTTTTATAAGATTTAATTAAAAAAATGAATATGTTTAATTGTTCTTTCTGGGTTACTGGATATTTGAATTACTGAAGACCAGAGAATGTAGATGTAACATAGAACAGAAAAAAAAAAAACTAAACTCACTGCTGTCGAGTTGGATCCGACTCACGGTGACCCCTCCTTGGGTTTCCGAGGCGATACTATGGAAGTGGATTGCCCAGCCTTCCTCTGAGTGGCTGGTGAGTTTGAACCACCAGCCTTCTGGTTAGCAGTCAAATGCCTTAGGCACTACGCTACCAGAGCTCCTTATGCTATATGGAATATAAAGTCAAAAAACGTAGTATACTATTTTGTGAGTTTTGTATCTATAAAGATATGATTTGCATGTCCATAAATATTTACTAAAGATTGAGTCAATAAGATTTAAATATTTTTATTTTAGTCCACATTTAGAGACAAAACAGTTTATTTTTGGAGCTCCATGTATGGATTATTAAAATTTATTTATTTATTTTTGTTACCAAATTTTATTTGGATGGCTCAGTGCATTCCATTTCTTGTATTATGAATGTGCTGAATTCGGACAGTTGGAACCCAAATTTCTTAGAAATGCCAGGTGTTTCAGTTTCTTTTCTTACTGTGAAAGTAACCTTGAATAGCAAAATGAAGAGAACTTGAAGAAATGATTTGATGTCCTGTAAGGAATATTGGTTTAGGAAGGCATTAGCCTGGGATTTTAATTCCCTTTCCACCACTACGTATATGACCATCACACTTCTCAGAGCCTGTTTCCTTTGTAAAATGGCATGAGTAACAACAGTAGACTTATCTACATCCTAGACTTTTTATGAGGAGCAAATAAGTGGAGGTATATAAATAGTGTTGAAAAAGGTGAAAAAACACAAACAAACCCAAAACCAAACTCGCTGCCATTCAGTTGAT